AAATTTTATACGACTACTAGCTGCACCCGCGGCTTCGCTCGCGTACAAACTTCCGATCGCTAACAAAATTCACAGGATCACCCGCTGGGCTAAATGAAATGAAATGAAAATGAAATTTTCAAGTAATCTTTAGATTACTTGAAAATTTCATCAAAATCGCTCCAGCTGCTTTGGAGTCCATAGGAAAGATACATACACACATCGATTTTTATTTTATACTATCAACAATTTAAAATTTATTAATTCATTTGTCGGAAAATGGAGTATTTTATGAACATTTAGTGACACACCGACTGCAGCGAAAATATGAATAATAAAAATGATACTGAATATATTCTTTTGTATTTTTAAACACTAGTAGAAAAGCATCCCCTCGAAAGAGAGATAGTATAATATTAGCTTTCCTTTATTATAAAAAAATGCTGCAGCTATTTTTATTTATTAACATTTATTAACATATCATAGTATAGAGTATTCTAATAATAATATTAGTATACTGCTTTAAAACACTATATTTATTTTAAAACATTATAGTTTGGCTTCAGGCTTATTCAGGCTAGTTATATAGACACTTGATCTATATTGTTCGTTTGTCTGATTTTAGCGATTTTACCACATAAAGATACTAAAAAAAAACAAAAGCGAAATTACCCTAAACAGACTTTTTAATAAAGGTTCGTTTTGTTTTATAAAAAAATAAATAAAAAAATTATATATACGTTTATTTTGTCAAAATGTAACATATCACTATTTCATATGATAGGGAAATCAGTGTTCCTAGTTCCTACTCCGGTTATAAGTGCAATAGTCAAGACAGAAGTTAGTGTGTACCTTACAATTTTTCTTAGTCATTATCATAAGGGTGATAGTTCTTTAAGTTTAAAAACCGTCCAAGTGCGAGTCGGACTCGCGCACGAAGGGTTCCGAAATAAGTACTTCACTCGAGGAACTACATAAATATATTATCTCAGAGAGTTATAGAATATACATAGAGTTCGTAAAACCGATAGACTTAATTCATATCGGAAAGTAGAATCAGAATGGCAACATTTAGTTAAAAATTAACTTATTCTAGCAATATAATGATTGACACTTGATTATAGATACAGATTCAGAATGAATAACTTATAGTATTGAAATCCTCAATATAAATTGAAGAAAAGACATGTTCATAATAACTGACAAAATCTAGAAAGAAAAAATATAGAGTCAGCATATTTATATGTTTGTGTTAAATTAAACAGCGTTGCAAAATATCAAGCGTTTACTTAAAAATAGGTTAATATGTTTTAAGGTGCATTCACCTCTGTACTCGTAAATTGCATAATTTTGACGAAGTAGGTTAATACTTCATCTAAATAATCAACAGAAAATGTAGTATTGTTTATAAATCAATATCAATACAAATTATCTTCTGTTCCCTTCTCTTGCTTGTTATAGATAGAGCGATATCGTATTGTGCTTTTCTCATATGCTGTGCTTTGTTTTCATTTAACTAGCACTTATCCTACAATCTACATATATAGTAGCCAATAGGAACTATTACTTTGCATGAAAACCCGCGGCCTTAGTGGTATGGGTGCATCTATCATTATTGTCTAGTTGACAAACAACTGTTTGTCTCGGTGGTGTAGTGGCTAGCATGTACGGCTGCACACTCGGAGGTCCTGGGTTCGAGTCCCGGGTCGGGCCAAGTTTAGTTATTGAGTCTTACTGTGTAGTAAGTCTCAATAACAGTCCGGAGTTGGGAAGTTGGCGGTGTTTCACCCCCATGCCTCGGAGAGCACGTAAAGCCGTCGGTTCTGCGCCTCACCGGTCGTGTCGAGTGGTCGTCCCACCGGAGTATGAGAGTGATAGGAATAGAGAGCGCACTTGTGTCTGCGCGTACACTTGAGCACTATAATATCTCCTGCGCAGTTGGCTAGTCTCAATGAGATTGGCCGCCGTGGTTGGAATCGGCTAGGAGAACATCACTATTGTCTAGTTAATTAGACATATACTAGTCTAGTCATACAAGAGCTTACTTTAATCCGTCACGGACGGTGTCTAATACATGTAATTGGAATTAGCCTTATTTGCTCAATGGATTTTCTTTTTACTTACAAGCTTAGCTTCGACGTTAAGTTTATCTCTATATTGAGCTATAAATAATACGTAGATATGTATACTGTATATTTACTATACAAATCTATACATATAATAAAATTGTAACTAAGTCGAATCTGTACATTATTTATTTTTTGGAAAATCTAATTGAAATAGACATTATTATCGATACAGAGTCCGAATCTATAGTTTTTAGAATTTTTGTCTGTCTGTCTGTCTGTTACCGCATCACGAGAAAACCACTGGACAGATGTTGATGAAATTTGGTATGGTAATGCTGGTTGTCCGGGTCAACATATAGGATACTTTTTACCGCGGAAAAATATATCATTTCTGAGAAAAAATACAAAAACTGCATCGTAAGAGTATACTAATATGTAAAACCTAAGAATTTGGTTTTTGGTCATCTGAACGCAGGCGGAGAACTACTCCTATTTTTGTTTCTACAGTCATTGAGTAGATTGTGATAACATTGTATATTACAATAATCAACATAAAAGTACCTTTAAAAATTAAATTAACAAAAACGAGCTAAAAAATGGTGTAAGCTAAGAAAGTCATGATGTGTTATAACGTTATCTTTGTCTACGTCTGTAAATAAATAGTTGAGCGTAGAGCCACTTTATTGTATTTCAAAAGTTATTAAATTTACAATCCTTATCAAAATTCATAAAAAGTAATTAGAAAAGGGTGTGTCAGTAAGTGTAGCAATGCGAGATCTCGGCAGTCGCAGTCATCGTTTGGTGTGGGGCGGGTGTCTGTGACATTGACGCCTCATTAGTGGCGAATTATTATCACCAGGGGGCGAAACTGATCGCACATTCATTAGAGATCCGATTAAGAAATCATTATTATGTGCAGATTTATTATGCAAAGCAATGAAGTAATTTTTTCGTATTTATGTATGATTAGCATTGCCCGCTGCTCCGCACGCGTTCAGATGACCAAAAATTAATTCTTAGGTTTTACATATTAGTATACTCTTACAATGCAGTTTTTGTATTTTTTCTCAGAAATGAGATATTTTCTCGCAGTAAAAAGTATCCTATATGTTGACCCGGCTAACCAGCTATCACCGTACCAAATTTCATCAAAATCCTTCCAGTGGTTTTCCTGTGATGCGGTAACAGACAGACAGATAGACAAAAATTCTAAAAACTATAGCTTCGGCCTATGTATCGATAATAACGTCCATTTCAATGAGATTTTCCATAAAATATTTAATGTACAGATTCGACTTAGAATTTTATTATATGTATAGATGTTAAGAAACTTACTATTTAATTCTATTTTCAAAGTCACCCAGCGAGCAAGCAAACGATTATATTAGTTACTCATATGATGTTTTGGAAGGTTAACTAAGCTAAACAACCATTATTTGTATATTTTAAAGGTATGTTTTTAGTAATATTTATTTAACAAAGTTGCTAGAGCGCTATTTTTTTCTAGATTTATAATAAACCAACAACCCCTTTGATATTTGCAATATGGAATATTCAACATTGTGCGTAACACTAAAAGAATAGTGTAGGTACATTGACGGACAAATTGCCTTCGTTTTGAAAGTCTGCCATAACTGACGGGTGAATGAAGTGTCAAAAATGATAAGGATAAAATAATCTGCTTGCCATATTCAACTGAAATTTAAAGTATTACTTGAAAATTTTCCAGGATATGACGATTATTTATTTATATCATATACTTACTTATAATCAACAGCGAACTTACATGCGATTAAGCACTATTACAAGGTTTCAATTAACACATAATTCCAATTATAGGCATTTACACCTTGTAATTTAATATGTGATTAATTTTATTAATTAATCTTTTACAGAAGGCGACAAAGATTTTTTTTACAAATAGTTAAGATATATGACACTGAAAACTTGGTAAGCTGAAAAAAAAATTTATTTATATTACAAATATTTTAAGTTTGCTTTTTATTCAAGCGCGGATTCCGGGGGGTGGTGGGTCCTGGGGGTCATGACCCCCCCTCAAAGCCAAATATACTTTTTAGAGAAGTTTGAAGTCTAAGAAAGGAAGGAATAAACGGATAAACATTTCGATTAAAAAAATGGTTATTATATGTATTTTGAAGATTATATTCCCCTAGTTTCATGAATATCAAAAAGTTTTTGCAGAAATCTATATACAAATAAAATTGTAACTAAGTCGAATCTGTACATTAAACCTTTTTTGGAAAATCTAATTAAATAGAAGAAATAGACATTATTATCGATACAGAGTTCGAATCTATAGGTTTTAGAATTCTTGTCTGTAATAAATGTAATAGAAAACTAGATCCGCTCCTGGTCAGATTTTGCTAAGTTACTGTTTTATTATATGTATATTTCAGCCTATGACCCCCCCCCCCCCCCAAATTTAACTCTGGATCCGCGCCTGTTTTTATTATTACCTCATATAATGTTATTCTATTTATTTCGTATTTTTATCGTCACTGACTGGTATTTGTTTCTATATTCAATTTGCAATCGGTTTTTAAGCTGTGTGAACTGGGTGGGACTTTCTAAAGGTCCACATTGGATAGTTAAAACAACAATGTATTATATTATTTTTCTGTACTTGGATTAAATAGGTGAACTCGAGAACAGAAGATATGAGAAATTACATATTATTACTATAATTAATTGCTGTTAGTGCACTCAAGAGCAAACGTTCATTTGAAGAATGAGCAATGAACTAACATTTCTTGTGATTATATTTATCTATAAGTAATGTTTTTTTTTAATAAACTAGTTATAGTTAATAGAAAACAATCATTCAAAACGTTATAATGAGTCCAATCCATTACTAAATTATCTCTAAACACAGCGTAATAAATATCGATATATGTCTATACGTATCGATACAGAGAACGGAGACAATATTTACTGGGCAACTCCCCTGGTCCTGCCGAACGGAAACTTATAGTTTTCTTGAGGCGCCCGCCGAATAAAATACTGCTGTTCGGCCAATAAATCAGATTGTGTCGCGGCCGCAGCCGGCGCGTAGACGCCTCTGCCTCCCGGACTTCTGATGCCCCGCTACATTTTAATAACGGAAATCCTCCGGCATAAATGGTCACTGACAGATTTTATTTCAGCTCATATATTATGACCATTTGCGCACGTGAACTTTTTATTAACAATGGGACCAGGCGTGAGCGTCTTTGTAACAGGGTCTAGAGCAAATACATGTATTCATGACATTGCCAGAGCACCTATAAAATAAGTTTGTTTAGTAATAAGTACTAACTAATTTATGTATACATAATTTTATTTATCTATTCTTCTAAGATAGTGCGGACTTCTTTTAATACTTCCAACAGTACGTATCGGCGTCAACATGGTACAGTTTATGGGCAGTTTTACGGCGACCGCTGTCGAGCCACCAATAATAGTGACCGCGAGGGTGCCTGAAAACATACCACAGCTGTTTTTTACACGTTCTCTTATGGTTTTTACCTCCTAATATCAAAATTCTAAAATATGAGAGACTTCTCGAACTAAATACTTTGAAAAAAAAGACTTATTTTTTAAATTAATTAAAAATTGACGATTTAATAATATAATGAAAAATCTAATTCATATTTAATCATCATAAATTAATATATGGTCATAATCTTAAAACAGCCTTGTAATATTTATTCTTCTTTTGATTTATTATTTATTTATTTATTAACAAAGAATTAGGTTAAAAAGTATTAAAACTTGTCTTCCTAATGCCATAATGCAGAAACCAAAAATATGGTTTGAATGTTCTATAACATTAAGTTCTATTAATTTTAGTAAAATCATAAGATAGATTATGTACGAGTAGATAACAGAAAAACCTCTAAAAAAATATTAGTAAAAATGTTAATATAAGAGTTTCCACGCCATTCCTATGTGAGAGTGGTCGAGGCTATTACAATAAAAATATTAAAAACCGCATAAGTAAGAGGCAGAGGTCGTCGGCAGTTCGGTGCAAATGTCGCCTCGGACACTTACATTATTCCTTACTGCCCTTGCCGGTGTCCGGGGACTCTCGTGCCGACCCTCGCTTCCATTATCTCTATACTTTAGATAGTCACGGGGACATTCTTCGATTGACGGTCGTTCCGCTAAATGACCGGCCATTTGACGAGATCCGATTAGTCATGATTGTATTTGTGTTGTACTACAAAAATATAATCCCTTTCGGTCCGCCACTAAACCGTCTGAAACTGAAATTGATACTTCTAAAGGATTGAGACTTATGAAAGACGATTACAAGCACACCGGTGCAAGATTTAGAGGATCTTCTTGAAATTTAATCAAACGTCTATGAAGATTGCTTGTAATCAATTTTAAAGATTATTTTACTTCGATGCGTCTCAATAGAATTATAATATGCACTTCTAAAGCACGACATAATCTAGGGTCTCGCTAGGCATGTCATGTGTGTGGAATCTTTGAAAGGTTTGACGAAAATTAATAAGTGTTTTGAAATATTATTCAAACTTGAAACTACTTACATTGCGAAATAAATTAAGACGCAATAATGTAACAAAGAACAGACGGCAAATATCCAATGCAACGAGACACTTGAGCGAATTGCTGATTTTTGTAATGTCATACCTTTCATAAGTATTCTATTTAAACAATTATCAGATATTTCTATATATAAAAATACTTTACAGGGCTTTTAGATTAAAAGTCGTGCTAGTTTTTATTGAATCTTTTGCTTCTAGTAACGACAGCAGAGGCACAGGGGAAGTGACATAAAAGGCATAATATTTATGAAGGTAATAAAACAGGCTTCATCTATGATAGTCATAAACATTCTTTGTATCGTTACACCATCAATATATTGATATCTTCTATATTTGAAGCATTTTTTAGATTTAAACAAGAGCTATAAGTTTTCTGTAACAATCACTAGTACGATTGATGCGAGTGGGGTATATCGTTACGGTCGGTTGTGTTTATCGGATGAGCCGGGGAAGATGTTCTGCTCCATTATACTTTGCAATAATCCTACAGTACACTCTGTCTATTATAGTCAGGTATTACAAAATTCGCTTTTTTTTCAGAACGAATATACTGCGACAAATTTTATTTTAATGGGCCATCGCATAATTACGATTAGTTTGTTGTGTGTCTGAACATCCTTTCGCATTTAAGGGGTTATACAGTTAATAAATAGGTACTATCAAGGTATTAATTTTATAGTTATTGCTCGAACAAAGTGTAAGTGAGTGGATAATTTATTGTTTAGGCTATTACACCATCATTTATATTTTTTGTATGTCAATATAATAGGGTTTTTGTGATATTTTGAGCTATTTTCGTTTTTATTACTTTTTTTATGAAAAATATTATTATAATTGAAAGTTCAGGAGCGTTTTATAAAGGAGAATTCCATTAGTTTTATACTATGATGTGCTCTATGAGTTTCTTGAAGCGTCTTTTCGGGCATGCTCCGGTGAACCCTGATCCTATCATAACGCAATCGCATATCTTTTTCCCTTAGAGCGATATGGTTCTAATAGGGCGCTAGTCGCTAACATTTTCAATCTTACTGCTCTAACATAACATTAGAAATAGAAAAGCAAATGCCGTTGAGCATGAAAGCTGCAGATATTTACGTCGATAGCTTTCCAACTAAGAAGTTGAGTAGATGACATGAACTCGATCAGAGACCATCGTAATGTTAGTTTTATTCTTGATCTAAAATTAAAGATGGTATTTTGTCTTAATCCTACATACAGCACTTACAACATATTTATATCTTTCGACACAGTCAACACTATATTCTCATTCGTGATTCAGCTTATAAGTTACGGAACCAGTACCTTCGGCATAATATGTAGTCTTATTTTTTCGTTTGCATCACGACGCTAGACATTAAGAATTTATTTTGTGTTTTATAAAGTATAAATCGTAATACAATTAATTTAACACAAAATGTGTATAAAAATCCACAAAACTCATGATATATTTTCCCCTAGCGCACCGCTTACCGTTAATCCCTTTAGCGAGGGAAAAAACTTCAAAAGTTAGTGCGGGCGTGTTGGGGCCCTGAATTTTTGATCTCTATTAAATTGTTTCAAATGGTTTAACTTGTCGCGGCTCAATCAGTGCGGGGGCGCCATACGCCGCGCGCCCGTGCCGTTGTTTCACGCTCACTGCCTCGAATACTGATGCTGCAATACTGAATACGCGTGCTACTCACGGTTCACGCCTTACACGCTTTACACGCCATTCTTTGTACTTCAATAAATGTTATAATTTGTACTTTAGGCATTTTTATTTTTTTGTCAATAAATTAATCCATATTTATAAATAAGACATTATTAATATAACATTGTTATGTTTAGTAATATATTGAAGCTTTAGTGTACATAATAATGTAAGTATTTTACTTAATATAAAATATATGTAAGTGTAAAAAACGACCAGTCATATTTTGGTCTAATTTTTTTTATTGTAGTAAAAGAACAGGCAAAGGAAGTTAGCGTGTGTAATCGTGGATATACTAATTGGCTGTTTTAAGGGACGCTGTAAAACCAATAAAGAGTTTCAAGAAACATGGTATCTTTTGGTTATTCTTTATTTGTTTTTGTGTTGTTATTTTTGTCAACTTTTGACTTATAAACTTGAATACTTTACATTATTAGCAGGATCTCACCATTAACATTCATCTGGAATAAGTGTGCTAAAATAACATCGTCAATTAACACAAAGTATGTTTAATTAAATTTTATAACGTACATTTATTTATTTTACGAAAATTATACATTGCACGTGTAAAGTTTTTTTATGAAGAAGAGTTTTGCAGAAGGAAAAAGCTTGGTTAAGACCAAGCTTTTTCCTTCTGCAAAACAGGTTTCTAGAAGGTTTAGTTATTATAAGGAAAAGACCAGATATATCTTATTGTTAAATAGCAGTGTCCGCGGCTATGCCCACGTTCAGATGACCTAAAACCAAATTCTTAGGTTTACATATTAGTATACTCTTACATTGCAGTTTTTGTATTTTTTCTCAGAAATGAGATATTTTCCCGCGGTAAAAAGTATCCTATATGTTCACCCGGATAACCAGCTATGACCATACCAAATTTCATCAAAATCCCTCCACTAGTTTTTCTGTGATGCGATAACAGACAGGCAGACAAAAATTGCAAAAACTATAGATTCAGCCTCGGTATCGATAATAATGTCTATTTTATAAAGATTTTCTAAAAAATATTTAATGTACAGATTCGGCTTAGTTACAATTTTATTATATGTATAGATTTATCATGTACCGGTAATACCAGTAATTCTGTACCGGTGATAGAATTCTGTCAAGCCTGAGGAGAACGACTAGATGGGTACCACCCCTTTATCTATTTCGCCAAGCAACAATAATTTCATTATTTTGCTCCGGTTTGAAGGATAAGGTAGCGAGCGCAATTACAGGCAAGAGGCATATCATCTTAGTTCTCACAATGACAACTCACTTGCGGTTGTGCATTTTTGTTTCGTAAAACCTAAGTGCATGAACCGTAGGTGTTATAAGCGACAGGTACCGCTTTCCATCAGGTGGGCTGACTGCTCGTTTATCACTGAGCACCATAAAAAAAGCAAGTCTTTAATTTCGTCTACCCCGGCATTGTCTTTCTTCTAAAGTAAAAGCAGCTTATGGCATCCACACCACAAACTATCCATATACCTAGTAATATTTGTAAATATTTTAGAAAATTCTAATATAAGCAAGCAATCGTTTTGGTTATTTATAATTAAATATTTTAACGATATACCTATAGTTAAACAACTCTACTCTCTCTAAAAGTTAATGATGTATAATCTGGTATTGTTTTCAATATTATTAATTATAATCATTCAGTTATTTAGTAAATATAATTCAAATCACGGTAACGCGATCGTTCAATTAATATTTATTTATAATATTGTTCTCTTCGACTATAAATCTTAGATAGTTACCAAGCTAGGGTGGGACAGACGCATCACAGCATAACTGATTTATACACTAGCGGTATTTTATAGCACAGTTTGTTCTATTATTGTATTAGGGAGGCAGTTCGTTACACGACACCCTCAAAGATTTCGTTTTATGTGTACTTATTTAAAGTAATAAAATCTTAAAAAATCCACAGATCTCGTGTCTGCCACGACCTTAGAGTACATTGAAAATGAATCTGTTAAATGAACTGAATTAAATTTTTAACATATTAATTACTAGCAGAACAACCGATTTTGCCCGGGTTCAGACTACAAAAAAGTATTTGGATGCATAAAGATATAATCTATACATATAACAAAATTATAGAGGTCGAATATCTCTACATAGAAAAAAATGCTAAAAACAAGTCATGAATATCTAATAGGTAAATATGACGAGATATGAACTTTAATTACAGCTAAAAACTAGCCACTTACTCTCGCTTCGCTCGGGTTCGTCCCTAGGTACGTTTTAATTTTTTTGAGCGGAACCCTGATTCTTTCTCTAAAATAAAAGTAGCCTATGCTACTCCCTATAACATCATCTATCTTCTAGTGAAAATCCCGTCAAAATCAGTCCAGCCGTTTCAGAGATTATCCGGAACAAACAGACAGACAGACAAAATTTTTAAAAAATGTGTTTTTTTTATTAGTGCCGTATATAATTTCATATGCATTACATCATATTTATTTATTTTGACATTACAAAGAGACACTTCAATTTTATTTATATGTATAGACTAGCGACTCACTCTTGTTTTGCGTGTACTTCCGAATAACACATACCTACCTACCTCCGATTAATCTGAATTTTGCTATAGGTACATATGGACTAAGACGCACTGATAACGAATATGTTACTTAAAATACACGCATATTTCATTTTCAAGGTCAAATCTAGAAAAAGAAAAGATATTGATATTAGAGAAAAATATTTTCCACAAAAGTTGTAGGTTATAAAAAGATTGACATTTTTTGTCCATATGACTAAGCGTAGTTCAGCTTTGACTTTAACATCCATTGCATTTATCGCATTTTTATGATAAAACTAGCAGAACCCGCGGCTTCGCTCGCGCTAAAACTACAAAAAATCTCTAAATATATATAGTTTCATACAAACTTTCATCCCCTATTTTACCTTACCATTTTTTT